CTGTACAATAGTTTTAAACTCTTTTTAAGATCACACTAATACAAATACCTAGTTAAAATAATGACAAAAAATCGCATTGGAGTTGTCTCATATTTGGGGAATGCACCATGTATTATGAGTAGTCTTATATTAAAAGGATGCCAACGATTTAAAGTCACCCTGTATGTCATCAGACCATCAGTGAAAAAAAAGATCGCCTATTTTATTTGGCAATATTTCGACATTAAAAAATATTTAGCACTATTTATGTATGGGTTCGATTCCCGGCCGGGCAGAAATTGAAATGATGAATTTTAATTTCTGTGACGGGTCTGGGTGTGACTATGTATAATATTTATGTATTTAAAAAAAAAGTATATAAGTAGTATATCCGTTAAGCTAGCACTCATAACACAAGCCTTAAGTTGCTTACTTTGGGGCTAGCTGGCGCTGTGTGAAATTGTCCAAAGATTTATTATTATTATTATGTATTCGTCATTAGAGCCCAGAAAAGAAATTAGTTTTTTGAAAGGCCTTAATATGGCTTTTTTGTAACTTTTTGGACTTTAGATAAAAACCGTCATTATTATAAGCCATTTTATTGATATTTGACTCAAAGATTAATGTGTTTCATTTTATTATAGGAAATTTTCGTAGTTTTTTTAATATCCGGTATCCGGCCGGATAGTGAGCTACTATCCGGTATCCGGCCGGATAGTAAATTTAGGCCGGATATCCGGCCTACCGGATAGTTGCCGGATATCCGTTTCATCTCTAGTTTAGGGTAAATACAATTTGTGAGTTTGATCAATACAAAATGCGAATGATCAAGTTGTTCTCTCAGTGATTCTGCCAAGTGTAATAAAGAAGCTTAAATGTGCTACGAGAGCTGTTGAAGTGCAAATCAAATATACGTTCAAAAGAAGGATTCTTATATTATAAATAGGCACTAAAGGTGTTTTTGCTGCATAAGCTGATATAGCACATGCTTAGAGTACCATAAGAATTCGTGGTCTCCATGATTTTCTCCAAAATGGCGGTCTTGGTGCAAAACACTCCATCAAACTTCTGACTTATAAACATTATACAAAAGCGGTTTTATTCATTTCCAATATTAATGATAAACTGTAAAAGCCGGGGTGTTGACGTGACGTTGAGCGGCGCTACGGAAATACGGACGATTTGCACGCGCTGTCAACTCCAGAGTTAGGACGGGTGAGTTTCGGGACGTGTGAATTCGAATAAATATACCCCATATTTATTTCCGTTTATGCTTCGGATGAAATGGACGGCTTTCTATTCAAATTTATTTACTAAAACGGAATGAAATAGAATAAGTGGAAGCTGTACTAATTGGAACCTTTATCTATCGTTGAACTATCTGAGGATGTGGCATTGTCTTACAAGCGACGTATGTATATTACAGTTGTTACAGGCAATTAGATCCAGTTACAAATCAATATTAGAGGGTCCTTATTAGTAACTACTATTCATATGAAATCTGAAATCATTACTTAGCAAAAGGCGACTGTTGTTTTGTAGAGATTAAGTATTTGTAAGTGAAGAAAACAATTGCATCTGGTGCAGTAAACTTACTATATCTCCCAATTGTTATCGCACTCGGAGAAACTGATGGAGATGGCTTAAGTCACGATCAACTCGCCACTGCCAATAACTGGCAAAAGCCGGCTCTGCAGGAGTGACGTGACGTTAAGCCTCGCACTGGGGGCGCTCGCAGCTGTCAACTGGTACGTGTGACATTCGGGCTCGCTGAAACGTAACGAAGCGCTTTAAAGTCTATTCGATTGGGGATATGTCAACGAACCGTTGTTTATTGCATTAATTGGCTTGTTGTAAAATAACGAAGTGGTAGAATTATTTGTTGTGGTGCGTAAAGTAACGGATTCTTCTGTTTCATACACTAACTGAAAACATGTTTGCGGTAGATAGAATAGCGGTAAATCAGAGAAGTTACTTGACCTAAATGCTATAAGTATACTCGTGACACTAAAGAGCAACCACTGGACACAAAATTATGAAACATAAGTTACTTAGTTTCTGTGTTAATTCTTAACGCCAAGCAACATTGAACGAACGGATTTAATGTGAAAGCTAAATTGTGTCCCCGATTTATTTATTTAAATTATATCTTGCGACCATTAATCTTGTTTCAAAGTGTAATCTTTAATCCACTCTCCATACATGCCTTTCCTCTTCGCTCCCAGCGAGTTTCATCCATCACGTGCCAAATCCGCCCCGAAATATGCTCATGACCCTCCCTTAAAAGGAATATGTTGCGAGTTTATACGGTTAGTTAGCTAGATTTTTTTAAATTATTGATAGCTTAAAAGCAGCTAAGGAAATATACTTCCTCAGGTGGGAATAGAGCCCAACGTTCTTTCGCTTGCCGGGCCACTTCTATGCCAGTTGTTGAAACTAGTGGAAACTTTCAAGCAAGCCAGCGTTTTTTCATCGATGCTGTAGAGTTACGTATATCCTACAGAAATATTTTACAAATATACAGGAAAAACTACTGGAGTTAGCTATCGTTAGTAGTCAATCCTTAGCTTCGAACTCCTCCTATTTTCTTCTAATCAATTTCGTTGCAGGTCCAATAAAAGTTTAGCTTTCCACTGGGACCAAATTAGCCTTCACAGTCGGGGTTTATTGGCGTTCGAGCATCCTGGCAATACACACGAGATGGGAACGAGAGGTTGTGTTAAAAAAGTTCTTTGTGAAAAAAATAATATAGGTACGTAAATAAAATTGTATTTGTTTTTTTTTAAAGTATTTTGATAGTTAAGCGATTTTCATTTACGAAAATAAACCGCTGATACCTACAATAAAACAAGTAAATAATTGTCTGCAAATTCCATTGTTTTAGGTAGCATAAACTCAAAATCATCGTCATCATTAGCTATTACTCATATAACGTTACTAAAGCGGATCAATACAGACCAAGGCCCCGTAAAAGCACAACACGAGCTCTAGGGCTCTTCGCTTTGTCCGCGCGATGGCACTCGTGGACGTCATGGCAATCGAAAGCCCGCCGTAACGAAGGTGTGTATTTTCCATTTTCTGTTCTATACGTGGCTATGAGAACATTTACATGCAGAAATATAAGGGGATTTTGAACAAGTTTACATTCACTCTAAACTTGTAAAATAGTTATAACTTTTTAAGATAAACACTACCATAGCGGACATTTTAATGTAGTGCCGATAAAAAGCAACTAAATTCAAGAAGAAAAACATACCTACCATAAGTACCATTATTGCGTAACGATTTCAAACTCAAGACTAAAACTAAAGAGTTATAGTAAAAAATTAAGTTTAGTCAAACATAGTTATAGGGCTGGCAACTGCAAGTATTATTCTCCAAGATTTTATTTGCAAAAATCATTTTTGTATTAAATCAAAATCAAATTTACATCCGAGCTGACTTTAGTAATTTTGTAGAGAGCCAAAATGTATTTAAAAAAAACAGAGAACAAATTTTGTCACAGTATCACATTTGTCACATATTTTTCATGAGTGGTGGCAATATAGTGAAGCATCAATAGCCTAAAAGAATCGCATGATTTGCTCATGTATAGACCTACTGTACCTTATACGGTACACCTATTTTAGACTGGAATAAACCGTATAAAAAAAATAATCTCAATATTTTTTTTTTTGTAGTCATGATACCTATTAATTATACTCTATTTTTAAAATAAAATTGATAAATAAAATAATTTATCATTATTAATAAAAAAATATACCTTCTTAAATAGATTGTAAATATTTTTTTGTTTTCTGTCGAGGAATTCCATAAATATTTCCGAAACCACTTGTTAAAACATATTTTTAAATATTTTTATGTAAAATAATCACTTTAAGCTTACTATCACAATAATTTTTACAAATTAACAACAGTTTGGTACTTCGGAATATTTTCAAAAAGATACCGTACCATAGGGTACGGTAGGGCTAAATGGGGAGTAAAGTTGTTATTTGCCCCTTGCAGTGTTCCAACTGTACTTGTAGTGGAAACTGATAGACCCATTTATAAAAGATAGAAGTTAGGTGAAACAAATACTGTACCTTATTAAGTACCTTAAGGACAGCCCTACAAGCTAGTAGCGCTACACGATCAGTCACGGTGTCGCGTCACGTGCTGCTAACGTTTAATCCGTTTGTGTTCTTTGATACTAACAAGAAACAAATAAATGAAACATTGGGAAATTCATTGTGAAAACAGTAAGTGCTGTAAGAAAATTGTTGTGAACTCCTTTGTCAGTCCTCCTTAAGCTAAACTAAAGCAACTTATGTACTTAGTTGTATAGTGTAGTTGTGTATTACTCGTAAGTAGTACCTAGTTGCGATTTCACAACAAAAATGTTAGAGCTTACGTTTCGGCTGTGTCACAAGCAGACTTAAATTTAATGAAACGAGGAATTTTAATACTCTTATACTTAGTAGCCAAATTGTTCTAGACAGCCTAATTGCTTGATATTAAAACATTAGAGGTCAAAGAATCTTCACGTGCCGTCGCCTTTACAAAATAAATGTGGCCGTTGAGGCCATTGTACTTAGTTTTAAAAGTCTGCTACACCACCTTACTTTAACTGTAACTATAACCATAACCGGGTGTTTTTGTATGGAGTTTGACTGACTTTTGACTTTTGTTAGTTAATGTAAGGCTGAGTTGCACCATCTAACTTTAACCGTAACTCTAACCATAACCGGGTTTTTTGTATGGCCTTTGACTGACTTTTGTTTGACTTTTGTTAGTTAATGTAAGGCTGAGTTGCACCATCTAACTTTAACCGTAACTATAACCACAACCGGGTATTTTTGTATGGCCTTTGAGGTTTTGACTGACTTTTGACGTTTGTTAGTTAATGTAAGGCTGAGTTGCAACATCTAATCGTAACTATAACCACAACCGGGTGTTTTTGTATGGCCTAAGATGGTGCATGCAACTATTTGTAATGTCAACCATACTAGGCGTGGTAAACACGATTAGTCACAGCGCCGCGTCGCGTGCGTCGGACGTTTAATCCGTTTGCTCTTCGGCCTTGCAGTCACATAAACAACCGGCATTGTGTTCTGGGATTGTGTGCAGTGGACCTGCGAATGAACAAGTGATGTTGGCACGTTCTTTACAGAACTAGAGGTGAGTAGGTTTAAAAACTGGCCTAGTTAAACGATGCCGTTTGTTATCAGCGCAGAACTGCGGTTTCAATATCGCCTGGCTTGAGTCCATCAAAATTATGTATTTTCCTGATAGTTTGATAGAACTAACCATGCCTATACATGACTTAAGTTTGTGAAATTACGTACCATTTGAATAGAGACAGAAACACATGTGCTACGGTGTAAGTGGTGTAGTGGAAATAATAAGCAATTCACATCTGCCGCATGAGAGCATAATATGTCACTGCGCAGTGTTCAGTTATTGCAATTAGTCAATTACAGCTGTTTCATTTATGTTTGAGCTATTTCATCAACTAAGTACTCGCAAATTGTATAATCTAACTCGTAATGTACTTTACCTAGTTGATATTTAGATACTTGCTTAAATTCGTTATATTTTGTGAATTTAAAAGTAAAGTAGGTAAGAAGTTTGGGTTGCTTCAATGATTCAGTATCTTTTTCACTCAGATAGATAACCTTCACACGTTTGCAAAATAACGTAAAATTACATGTCGGCAGGTATTCCCAATGGTATCAAATCCGCGTCGGAGTTCCTGTTACATTGTTGGATCAATTTCAGGATAATATATCTCTGTAAGCTCAAACAAATGGAAATATGCAATCTCTTAGTCGAAATCACAACAAGAGGGGAGATTGATTGTTTATTAACAATGGCGATTGATAACAGAGGCTCGTTTGATTGCTTTGCATGCCGGCTCAGTAGCGAGACCATACAATTGCCTCGGATTACAATATGACAGACGTTGTGTTAGATGTTTCTGGTATACCTACACATATTTGCGGTGTATACGAAAGGTATTTGTTTGTATATACGATTCATTAGCAATATATTGTGAACTAGCGGCCGCCCGCGACTTCGTACGCGTGGATCCCGGTTTACCCCCTTCATCTATCTTACGCGGTTTAGATTTTTTCATACAAATATTTTTTACCGCTAACTCCCGTTCCCGTGGAAATTTTGCAATATCCTGTACCTCTAGTACGAAAAACTTTCGAGTTCGTTTCGTTGCGTATTCAAAGTGTCATCGAAAAATTTTGTATGAAAAATTAAACAGCACCCCCTATATTATAGCCGCCCTAGGGGGCGCTGTTTAATTTTTCATACAAAATTTTTCGATGACACTTTGAATACGCAACGAAACGAACTCGAAAGTTTTTCCTACTAGAGGTACTGTTGTAACTAAGCTTTAAGTTAACGTACCTGCATGCCAAATTTCAAGCGTCTAACTTAAGCGGTTTAGATTTTTCATACAAAAGGATTTCCCCGCTAATTCCCGTTCCCGTGGGAATTTTGGGAATTCATTGTTGTAACTAAGCTTTAAGTTTATTAAGGTACCTACATACCAAATTTCAAGCGTCTAACTTAAGCGGTTTACATTTTTTGTACAAAAGGATTTTCCCGCTAAGTCCCGTTCCCATGGGAATTCCTAAGTATACTATAACCTGCCCAGGAGTATGAAGAATGATTGTGCCAAGTTTCGTTAAAATCCGTCGAGTAGTTTTTGTTTCTATAAGGAACATACAGACGGACAGACACACAGACAAAAATTTTAGATAGTTATTTTGAAAATATATTTCATGTACAGAATTGACTTCTCTACAGATTTATTTTAAGTAAGTATAGAAGATAATACTTATCACGGGTAGAATGTGTGACTTGTTTGCAAGGTCGTGGTTATGTAACATTGTTAGCAACGGACGATAGTACTTCAAAACGTTTGCGATTTATCGACTCTAACTAGACTCTTAGGTCTTTATTCTGAAGCCACTCGACTCGTAAAGAAGAAAAAGAGTAGGTAGAGGTTCAATTAAAGGTAGTAAGAAAATTAATACCTTTGTTTATAATATAAAATGTATCTGTCCTTTATGCCAATAAAATATTTTTCATTTTCATTTTTTTTCATTTTCATTCATGTGAGTAATTTTTCGTTATTTTGAGAATGTTCTTTTGGAAAAATGAATTGCAACGTGCTGTGATGATTTTGTTCGTAAGCGGTGGCAACACAATTCAACTCTTCCAAATTGTTTAAAAAGGAAGTGAACAATTATGTTTCAATCACCGCTGGGACAAACAATGCGGGCTCGATATCTGACTCTAGAGTCGACGTTTATAAACGACAGCACATCAAGTTAAATATTTTGGCATCTTATGCAGTTAATGTAGGTAGTGCTCCTCGAGTGACGGAGCACCGGGGTCTTTTTAGTGGGTATGCCTCGTCCTTCTGACGTGGTGAGCCCCACATAACCTACCCTGTCCCCGCAGGGTAGGTATGCGATGCAACGCATTTTTTCCCCGTAAAAAAAAAAAAAAAAAAAAGGTAGTGCTCCTTTTGCAATAAATATATAGGTATATATTCTGATATGCTGTAGGTAAAGTGTATACAGTGCACACTTATTAACACAATGATCTGCAGTTCGTCGCTGTAAATACTGTGTGTTGTTACAATACTGTGTCAATTTTAGGACGTCATTGTTTGCAAGATTGCTTCAATTTCGGCTGCTACTGTGAGAGTTAACCGCGCCGTAGCCATTTTGGTAGCTTTGGTATTTCTAATTAACAGATACCGCTGACTTTGGTATTTGTAGCGGTAATCCACACGACCACTCTATTAATAATCCTAAAATCAATGATTATGGTAAGACAGGCTAATTATTCAATGAACCTAATAATGTAAGTAGATACTAAAATAACAATTATTAATAATTTAAAATTGAAATGGAAACTAGTAAATAAGCTTTAGCTTCAATTAGGAAATTAAAGGCTGTAAGAAACGAATTTAAGTTACAGTAAGTAGGTACTAAAAAATCTAAATCGTAAAAGTGGCAAAGACAAAAAAAGTAAGTAGGTAGGTTTATGAATTTGTGAAGATTGTTAATGTTTAAAATTATTGACAACTTTTATATAAAAGGCGCATACAAAAAAGACATTCCCAGGTAATAAGATTCTGTTTGTGAAATAAAAATAGCCATTGGTAATATTTCGCTGAGCAAACTAGAAAAATCGGATGATTCCCTTTTCCATCTCTTAAACAAACAACAAACAGTTTATTTCGGAATTCGCTGAAAAACCTGCTTCGTAGGGTTGTAGTCGGCTAAAAAAAAGTTTTTTTTTATTTAGTCCAAAATCCTCAAAAATAAAGATTAAATCTGTGTACTTAGGCTTGTGTTAATGAATCGTTTATTGTAGCTAAAATTCAGTTACTTTAAAGTCTCGCGTGTAAAATGGATCATTCTCACGCCCTTTAATCATGGTTAGTAAGGGGGCGTCCATAAATTACGTGAGACTTTTAGGGGGGAGGGGGGGTCAACAAAAACCTCACTAAATCTCACGTGGGGGAGAGGGGGGGTCTCGGGAAATATCACGTAATTTTTTCCGCAAGAAATAGAGAAATAGAGTTTGCCAGAAAACTGGGTTTAATGCCCATTTTCACCATCAATACCTAATTTTTAAGTGGCCCCTATGAAAACAAAATTCCTGTTATTGTGTTACCATAGGGGTCACTTAACTGACCCCCCAGGGGGTCGCGACCCACAGGTTGAAAAACACTGTGCTAGATTAATAGTGATTTTGTAGAAAGGAACAATAATTAGGCTAGGTACTTCTGTAAAAAAAAACAATGTGACCCTAGTACTAACCGCTGCCACTACACGTGTTTTTCTGGATCTATTCGTAATCAGTACCTAGGTTTAGTGCGAGTTTACATCAATTTGTCATCCGCTAGCGACTGCGTAAAAAATAACAATATACATTTATAGATCTTTTTGATGCACTCGTTAGCGACAACGTTAAATGCAAACTCGCACTAAGCACACAAAAATAAACTTTCTCAGTTAAATTACTCCAAAACTATTAAATTGCGGATTTTTTTAAATATCACGTGAGATTAGGGGGTGGGGGAGGGGGTCAGGCAAAATCTCACCAAATCTCACCAAGGGGGGCGGGGGGGTTGAAAAATAGCCAAAATTGTCTCACGTAATTTATGGACGCCCCCTAAGTACTAAATAAGTTTTATAACGCCGTTTTAAGTAAAACATTTGACAGAAAGAGATTAAACATTAATTAAGCCGATATTTAAGGGTGGTGGTATGACCCCTATTTCGTTATAAATCATCTCCTAACCTCACGAAAATATGTTTTTACGTAACTTGGAATGCATTTAGTAATTATATTACGTATTTTCTGTAAAAAAATCTCTAGTATTTTTCTGAATTGGCTGCAAATATAGAGATGTTTTTAAATCAGTGGTAGAGCTCGGGCGACACCTTCCATTACGTTCCTTCCAGCCCTTGGGAACTGTGTATGTGTCGGGAATAATAAGAAACCTACGTCACTCAGTAAAATGTAGCTTTATATGTGAGGGAATTGTGAAAGATGTAGGTACTACTCAGTAGTATCCGAGTAATAAGTACTAACAACAGACTATTTTTAGCTTACTAAGAGGGATTAACTTATTAGTAAGTTTTAATCCAAATAAGTACTTACCTAATTTTGTAAAAAATCAGATCAAATTCTTCGGTATTTTTTACGTTAAATTTATATTTCCAATCTTCGCATTATCTTATTCCTTTGCTTTTAATCGCATATTTTTAATTCTTATCTCCGCTTGTTTGAATTACATCTTATTATCACATAAAATGTAATATTACGGCGTTTTTATCCCCTAAAAGCATTGCAGCAGCCCTGTAACAGTTGATATAGCGTAGGACCGAACAAGCTCTGCAAACCCGATACGCTTTAAGCCCCAAATGCGTTTCTGTACCAACACGAGTCTGATTCTATTTGCTGTAGAGACTACTTCAACTGAGTTTCGAATTTATACATTGCTACCAAAATAGCATAGCCTTCTTGAGCTGAGAAAAGTACCTCCATATTTGTCGAAGTAAAAAGACCCGAAACCTACGTAACTAAGAAAACAACAATAGCTGGCTTGTAACAGACGTAGCGTTCTATTTTTTTTT